ATAGTTCGCTTGCGGACTACAGACCACGCACTAGTGATACATGCGACATATAGCCTACCATAATATACTGCCAAATATTGACGTGCGCGGCAGCACAGTGAACAAGTATACAGTGCAGTGGTCTCCCCAAAAGATTAGCAACTACCTGATGGTGGCCCATGTGGCCAAAACATGTCGAAAATTGGAACAAATATATGACAAAAGGAAGACATTTTAGAAAAATGGATAATCACTTTTAATGTATAGAATGAGCTTTCAATGTCATATTGACATGTAATGATTTTAATATCAAATTTGTTGAAATACATTTTTAGTGTGAAACATACGGGTATTCCTAATGTCTTTTATATTGTTGCATTATTGACGGATATTTTGATAATAAAGGATGATATCTCAATGCAACGGAATGCTAAATACAAATATTGAGAAAGCAATATTATGCAGAAGTGTTTACCTGATGTTGACCTTATAAGGTCGAAATATTAAGTATAAATAAGATCTATGTAAGAAAGTGACAACGTTGCAACTCAACAATCCACGAGCAGGAAGAGAAATTACACCTTCAACATTGCCCTTGCAAATTAAATCGTTAGGCAGTCCAGAGGATGCCGAAATACATTATTTTAGAAAGATTTATACTCAATTTAATTAGTGTAGCAAAGCTTTAATGATTTACTAACACAGAAGAAATTCCGAAATACACTGGAACTCAGCAGATGATTAGAATCTCGAACATTTAGGTGGCCCAAGCAACACAGAGGGAATTAAAACGAAGGGTTNAAAGTGGTGGATAAAATCTACTAAGTACAGAATGTGAAGAAAGTGGTGGATAAAATCTACTAAGTACAGAATGTGAAGAAAGTGGTGGATAAAATCTACTAAGTACAGAATGTGAAGAAAGTGGTGGATAAAATCTACTAAGTACAGAATGTGAAGAAAGTGGTGGATAAAATCTACTAAGTACAGAATGTGAAGAAAGTGGTGGATAAAATCTACTAAGTACAGAATGTGAAGAAAGTGGTGGATAAAATCTACTAAGTACAGAATGTGAAGAAAGTGGTGGATAAAATCTACTAAGTACAGAATGTGAAGAAAGTGGTGGATAAAATCTACTAAGTACAGAATGTGAAGAAAGTGGTGGATAAAATCTACTAAGTACAGAATGTGAAGAAAGTGGTGGATAAAATCTACTAAGTACAGAATGTGAAGAAAGTGGTGGATAAAATCTACTAAGTACAGAATGTGAAGAAAGTGGTGGATAAAATCTACTAAGTACAGAATGTGAAGAAAGTGGTGGATAAAATCTACTAAGTACAGAATGTGAAGAAAGTGGTGGATAAAATCTACTAAGTACAGAATGTGAAGAAAGTGGTGGATAAAATCTACTAAGTACAGAATGTGAAGAAAGTGGTGGATAAAATCTACTAAGTACAGAATGTGAAGAAAGTGGTGGATAAAATCTACTAAGTACAGAATGTGAAGAAAGTAGTGGATGAAATCTATTAAGTACAGAATGTGAAAAAATAAAATAGGACAGTATTTTATTTTCATTCTGCTTTGTAGAAGGATATATGTCTTGTTGTTTTATGAGCGCTGTCCTCTCCTATTTGCACTCTGCCAACAGTCACTTTTACTTCTTTAACGATGGCCTAAACGAAAAAAAAAATAGTATTGGAATGAGAGATCGGAACCTGGCAAGATTGTTTCTCAAAGCAATATCTGGCAACACTGTGCGAGTGACGCCTGTTGTGACAACGCATTGTAAAATAACAGTTAATAATTCGAACATACTTGACCATTATCAGAAAATTCGAAAATACGTATAATAGATTAAAAAGCTTCGTAATTAATGAGATAAAATTGTCCCTGTGGTTACTTAGTTGAGCACTATCCCATGAAGACCTATGGGGGAGTGAAGGTATAGCCCCATCTTTTTTGACGAACGGCATTAGATAAACGTAAGTGGCGATCCTCACGCTTCTGCCGCTTTACCCCAGGAAAAGAGCCGCCGGATAGGCTGGGTGGGCCCCAGAGCCGGTCTGGACGCTGTGGAGAAAAGAAAATTGTTTCGCTGCCGGGAATCGAAGCCGTAATATCCAGCATGTGGTGCGTTGCTATACCGACTGACTTATTCAAACTAGGCTCATAATTAATAACAGAACATTTCCTTAACACAGGATTCTAATACGAATAAAATTTATTCTTAAAGACATGAATATTTTTGATAAAAAATTTGTATCATCATTCAGAAATAGCAATTTATTACATGAAATTCGGTTTCCAATTTAGAAAATCTAAAAATGTTTGTAATGTCGTCTCTAATCAATAATAAATGTATTAGAATTTCATCACTGTTTTGAGGAGACTTTCTTGCGGTGCTTCCTGGAGATCAGTTTCTCAGTTTGCAAGCTGTCGTGAATAAATGAAATGGATATTTTAAAGGGGTTTCTCAGTACAGAGTTATGGGCCGCGCCACAGCTCAAGAGGTTAGTCGCTGGCTTCCCACCGCGGCGGCCAGGGTTCGATCCCGGGTCTGGTCAAGTGGGATTTGTGGTGGACTAAGTGGCGCTGGAGCAGATTTTCTCCTAGTACTTCGGTTTCCCTTGCCAATCTTCATTCCACCAATTGCTCCACAATCACACTCACCTATCATCTGGGGCTGGTACAATAGGCCAGAAGTGACCACAGTACAAGGGGCTTAGTCCCACCACAACACGTAATAAAAAAAATAGTATACAGTCACAGAGACTTCAATTGATTTTCAACGGGTTACGCTTCGTTATTATGTAGACGACGGAAATCTTCATATTAATCCAATATCATCACAACTTTCACTGCATTATCCAAAGAAAACCTCTGTATTAAAAATACTTCTCCGCGCATGAGCAGTGTATAAAATGTGAGAGATTTGTGGTTCTCACGGCCGTGACTACGAAGCGTATTATCTTCTGGAATGTGTCGCGTGCAGTCTGCTATACAATTCTTGCTTCAATGAAACATCTCAAACAGCAGTGTTATAAAAATAATATCCGATATAAAAACACAAATTTAGCAACTAATCTAACAAAATATCAACTGAACGCATATTACATTGTGAAGTGACAGGAATTTGAAGATATTGTGGCGTGCCGCCTAAAATCCGGAATATCTGAGCCAGAGCTGGCGTCCATTGCTACACAATGGCTCGATAATCACAGTCCTGCATCGTTGTATCGGTAGCAACTAAACACGTTCACGCGACAACGCAAACTGTGACAAGCGGTCTGAAAGCCACAATCTGCGCATCTGATGGGCGGAGCTTCGCGGGGTTACCGTGGTAACGCGAAATACACTGTTGCACTGGGTTTCGATGGACCTATTGGAGACATATCCATGATAACGACATTGTAAACAGACTGTTATACCACGGATATGACAAAACATAACTCTTCAAGGAGGTGATTCCTATCACGTCCGCGTAGGAGGAAGAAATGGAGAGCAGTTCAGAGTTCAGAATTGAAGGCACAGAACAGAAGTGAGAGGAGATTCCATACGACCAGAGGCGCAAGACACAGAAAACAGCGAGGGTTTCGGTATCCAGAAATAGTTGTGTGTGTGAATTATTGTGACCGAAAGTGACTGCGTTAGTACAGTCCAATAAACCTAACGATCAGAACTAAGAATCCACAATTTATTTCATCTATATTTCAAGAAGTTTGTAATTATAAGTATTACGAATACAATTCTTAGCCTACTTTACTTATTTTGAAAAAAAAAATGAAAGTAGGCTTATGAGATCACCATGGTTTCTTTGTCCCTTAATCCCTAGCCCCCATCATCAACTTCTGAGCCCCTGGACCGATCTTTATATCATGGCACCTGAGGCCATGTCACGGGGTCTGTATATTCATCCCCTTACCGTTACCAGGCAACGGCTCGGTAGAAAACGTTACTGCTGCAACTAATACACATGCAACAATAAAATAATTCTTGGTCGCGTAGTTTTCTATGCGGTCTCTACCGTATCAAAGGCAAATGCACGATTAGTTCTTCCCAGAACAGCTTGTATATATTCATAATTATTAATCCTTTGCAGTCCAGTGGTTAAGATACGTACCACCTGCTTTAATATATTAAAACTCCGCATTCTGTCCACTGATTTTACTTGTGTGTTTTGTATGGATCTCATAATAAACAGCGCTCTTCTTTTCCCCTAAACAACATCAATCGGCTGGTCTCTCTAACGGAGACCTGTGTCAGGAGAGACCCCAATTTATGTATACTATTTAGGAGACAATAAATTTCGAAAACTTTAGACATGTCCATAAGAAAGCTCTTTAACATATCAAAATGACCGCGCCATAACTCAAGCGGTCGCTGGCTTCCCATAACAAAATTTTCATGTATGCCGTATGTATACAGGATAGTCCAAAAGTCAGTTAACTGATTAATAAAATATACAGCAAAATATATTATAAATTTCTTTAAATTTTTTTTTATTGCTAGTGGGGTGGGACTAAGTCCCTTGTACTGCGGCCACTTCTGGCCTATTGTACCAGCCCCAGATAATAGGTCAGGGTGATTGTGGAGCAATTTGTGGAAGGAAGATTGGCAGGGGAAACCGAAATACTCGGAGAAAACCTGCCCCAGCGCCACTTTGTCCCACACAAATCCCACTTGACCAGACCCGGGATCGAACCCGGGCCGCCGCGGTGGGAAGCCAGCGACTAATCGCTTGAGCTATGGCTCCGCCCCTTGTTTAAACTTATTGAAGTTACAAAAAAAAAATTCGAAACGAGACCCTCCGTGTTCAATGCCCGACTCACAACGCTGTGTTGCTGTTCTAGGGTTTGACATGCAGCTTTAAATTTGAACATTCCCGTTCCTACGAGAGAATGTTTAGGTTCAGCGACTTTTCGACCACTCTGTAGCTCTAATAATTTCTAAAACATAAATGTACATACATAACACAAGGACTGTGCGCAGTTACAGTAGCACGGCTTGCCGTGTCTCTTGCTTACCCTGTCTTGCAGTCCATGCCAGAAGAACGTTTCCATGCTACTGCTGTTGATTACGACGATTAGGAGAGGTCGAAATAATGCCCTGTCATGTTCCTCTGCATGAAATATGCAAATACAGCTCAGAGCATGCGCGTGCTATATCGAGCAGTTCGACCCCTCACCTACATATTTCACCGCAAAGCAGTGGAAAATATTCATTAACTTTAATGAAATTGTGTTTATTATTCCACTTTTGCACTGCACATGGAATAAGGTCAACAGGTGTGGGTAATGTAGATCTCTGCCGGGTCAGGGAAATATGTTATGCTGTTATGTCCACGTCCGCTAATGTAAACACTTCCACCTTCAAACATATGATCAAACTGATATGGAAACGAACCAATAAAAAAGCCGTATTTTGTAGTTTATGTAACGATGCTTTCTCGACTTCATAGGTTACGCTGCTCAAAAGGAGGATTATGTTAATGAGGCTTCCAGCACATAAATTGCACTGGATTGAGTCTGACTCATTATGATGCTCCAAAGACATTTTACTTAACTCATGCCTTGTGACAAGAATACTACGCTTTCATATTATTGTCACGTGTTTCCTTGGCAACGCGACAAGAAATTGTGTGGATCTTGGATTTGGACGCATGTATTTATTGGACAACCACACTACACTCACAAATACAATAATTCGCACTTATAAT